ATCGGGGAGCGAAGAAACGGTTAGACGGAAGGTGGAAGGTTGGGCGCGCGCGCCAAGTTCAAATGCAGAGGAAGGTGGCGCAGTAGGCAGCCCGGAAAGGGAGCCAGGTCCTAAAGCCCGGCGCAAGGAGACAGGAGGGTCCGGGGGGTCAGCGTCAGAAGAGTCCAGGAAGGAAGAGACCACGGGGGGCAGAGGGACCCAGAGAAGAACAGTCAGGCGGAAAAGGTGGGACAGGGCTAGGATATTAAGTTGGTGTACAGGGGGCGGAGACTCAGACGGAGCTTCGCCGGTCTAGCCATAAGACGTAGAGTTGCACGCAGCAGCTTGAGAATGGAAACTGTAACTCAATAAAAGACTTTTACAAGTGACCGCTGGCTAGCGTGATCCTCTGTGAGCTAGGATCTGGAAGCAGCTCTGACAGCGGCCGATCTGATCGCCACAAGGCATGCAAGCTCCACCCCCCCAGTCGTTCTTAGACTCCTTATTGGGTGAGCAACGCAGCCAAGCAACACAGTTGGAGCCTCACTCCTCCCTGGCCGGCAGGGAGGGAGGGAGAGGAGCTGCTTCCTTTGAAACCCGGGAAATTTAAGGGACATCATCAATAAGGGACAGCAGCGGGACACAGCGCTGGGATAAGGGACTGTCCCACCAAATAAGGGACAGTTGACAGCTATGTACAAGATCCCTCCAAAGTTGGCCCGAGGCAGGGAACAGGTGCAGAGCAACGACGATTGCCATGCGCTTAGGATCCACTCCAGGATCAAATCTATGAGCCTCTCGATCCGGTTTAAACGTCACGACTTGAATACATCCCAGGCTGCCTTCTTTCAACATGTTGCTACGCACCAGATCTTATTTGAATAAATAAACCTACCCGGACCCTGTGGTCATCTTCTGAGGCCCTCCTTCGTGTGCCCCCTCCTCGAGAGGTCCGGAGGGTGGCGACACGAGAACGGGGCCTTCTTTGCAGTGGCTCCCCGTCTGTGGAATGCTCTCCCCAGGGAAGTTCACCTGGCGCCTTCATTATACACCTTTAGGCGCCAGGCGAAAACGTTCTTTCTTAACCAGGGCCTTTGGTTCATCTGATATACATCCTATGCCCTTTTAAAATGTGGGGTTTTTTAAGGAGGGGTGCTATTGGGTTGCTGTTTTTATTTTTTATTATGTATTTTGTGGTTTTGATTTTATTCTGTGAATCACCCTGAGACCCCTGGGTATAGGGCGGTATCTAAATTCAATAAATAAAATAATAAATATTTTCTCCTCTTATTTTTTTAAAATAGGTTTTTATTAAAGCTTTGCAAAAGTACGTAAATCGTCTCTCTTTTCAGGTTGTAGAGCCTTTTATTAAATGTTTTAATAAAAATTAGAGAAGAAAGGATGTGAAGACCTTTGTAGATGATTTCTGGCAGCGTCCCTATTTTCCGGGGCCAGTCCTGGATTAACAGAAGCCATCCTGATTTCTGATTTGATCCCGGAATGCAAGTCACAACCTTTGATTTCAACTTGTCAAAAGGTAAAATGGTAAAGGACCCCTGGATGGTTAAGTCCAGTCAAAGGTGACTACTGGGTTGCGGCGCTCATCTCGCTTTCAGGCTGAGGGAGCCGGCGTTTGTCCACAGACAGCTTTCCAGGTCCTGTGGCTAGCAGGACTTAACCGCTTCTGGTGCAACAGGACACCGTGACGGAAACCAGAGCGCATAGAAACGCCATTTACCTTCCTGCTGCAGCGGTACCTATTTATCTACTTGCACAGGTGTGCTTTCAAACTGCTAGGTTGGCAAGAGCTGGGACCGAGCAACGGGAGCTCACCCTGTCGCGGTGATTCGAACCGCCGACCTTCTGATCAGCAAGCCCAAGAGGCTCAGTGGTTTAGACCACAGCGCCACCTGTGTCAACGGGTCAACACTGAACATGACTAACATTAAATGCAACTCGCAATATGTACGGACGGTGCTTTAAAAAAACCTAAGCCTGAGCTCCACCCCTGAGAAACTGTTGGGGGATTTCTCCTCATTGAAGAAAATCAGGGAAAAATTGTGTGTGTGTGTCTCAGTTTCTCTGCTTGCAAACTCAGAGGAGAATTCCAAGAGGCCTTCATGACGCAGTCTTGAAAGTTGGGTTGCAGCTAACAAAGTTGTACTCAGAGTGTTGTTGTTGTTAAGTCGTTTAGTCGTGTCCGCCTCTTCGTGACCCCCTGGACCAGAGCACGCCAGGCCCTCCTGTCTTCCACTGCCTCCCGCAGTTTGGTCAAACTCATGCTGGTAGCTTCGAGAACACTGTCCCACCATCTCGTCCTCTGTTGTCCCCTTCTCCTTGTGCCCTCCATCTTTCCCAGCATCAGGGTCTTTTCCAGGGAGTCTTCTCTTTTCATCAGGTGGCCAAAGTCTTGGATCCTCAGCTTCAGGATCTGTCCTTCCAGTGAGCCCTCAGGGCTGATTTCCTTCAGAATGGAGAGGTTGGATCTTCTTGCAGTCCATGGGACTCTCAAGAGTCTCCTTCAGCACCAGAATTCAAAAGCATCCATTCTTTGGCGATCAGCCTTCTTTATGGTCCAGCTCTCACTTCCATACATCACTCCTGGGAAAACCATGGCTTAAACTATACAGACCTTTGTCTGCAAGGTGATATTTCTGCTTTTTAAGATGCTGTCTAGGTTTCTCATTGGTGAGTAGACCCGCTGAAATCGATGGACTACATTAGTCGTGCCTGTTAATTTCAGCGGGACAATTCAGAGAAGGATTTAGCTGGATTCAACCCCGACGATCGTAGCCAAGGCAGTGCTTATGCTATTTTTGGAACTATATGCTTGATTCTGTCCCAGATACAATGTTCAGTGCTACCTGGGTTCTGACTTGAGTGATGGCTTCAGAAGAACTTAGGGGAGTATAGCCAGCACAGAGCTAAGTTACAGCCACATAAGCATAGAATAGTACAGTTGGAAGGGACCCAGGGGTCATCTAGTCCAACCCCCTGCTATGCAGGAATCTCAGCTAAAGCATCCATGACAGATGGTCATCTCCAGTGTCAAACAGCTCTTACTGTCAGAAACTTGTTCCAGATATTTGGTTGGAACCTCCTTCCTTGTAGTTTGAAGCCATGGGTTCGAGAGCTACCCTCTGAAGCAGGAGAAAACAAGCATGTTCCTTCTTCCATGGGACAGGAAGAGATATTTGAAGATATTTGAAGATACTTGAGATATTTGAAGACAGCTATCACATCTCCACCTTCCCCCCCCCCCCCGGCTAAATATACCCAACTCCCTCGACTGTTCCTCATCAGGCGTGGCTTCTAGATCCTTGATCATTCTGGCCGCCCTCCAGGTTGTCCACATCCTTCTTAAACTGTGGTGCGCAGAATCGGACTACGCCGGAGAAGACCCCGCGGAAATTAATTGCCTAAATGAGTCGCTCCTGTTAAATTTCAGTGTGCCGATTCGGAGAAGAATTTAGCTGGCTTCAACCCCGGCGGCTGCAGCCAAACTCAGCGTTGATGCTATTTCGGGAAGCTGAAAGCGTATATTCTTGATTCTGTCCCAGAGACGATGTTCAGTGCTGTCCAGGTTCTGACTTTGAGTGATGGTTTCGGAAGGTTTTTGGGCTGTAGCCACCGTAGAGCTAAGTCGTAGCCAGTTAATGCTCCGCTGGCAAAATGGTTTGCGCCGAAGGGCATGTTTGCGCAGAAAAGAACGTGCGAGGGAACTTCGTGGCACAGCCGAAATCCAGTGAATTAGTCTAGCGTTGGACTCCTTGGTTGCACAATATTGAAACTCACCTGTCTGCTAGCACAAGAGCCTTGGCGGACAGAGGACGTTGGGTACAGTCCCACATAAGTGTGAAGGGCCTCCGTCTTCATGGATGACATAAAGGTAAAGGGACCCCTGACCATTAGGTCCAGTCATGGCCGACTCTGGGGTTGCGGCGCTCATCTTACTTTACTGGCCGAGGGAGCCGGCGTACAGCTTCCGGGTCATGTGGCCAGCAGGACTAAGCCACTTCTGGCGAACCAGAGCAGCGTACGGAAACACTGTTTCCCTTCCCACCAGAGCGGTACCTATTTATCTACTTGCACTTTGACGTGCTTTCGAACTGCTAGGTTGGCAGGAGTAGAGACCGAGCAACGGGAGCTCACCCCGTCGCGGGGATTCGAACCGCCAACCTTCTGATCGGTAAGTCCTAGGCTCTGTGGTTTAACCCACAGTGCCACCCGCGTCCCTTGTCCCTGTTATACGTAATTGCAAATACAAATGTATCCCTATCGCGTTTTATGACTTCCTTGATATTGTATGTGGGCTGGAACTGGTCTGTGACCGAAATAATAAAATTCATTTGTTCACTCTAGCATTGGATTCCTTGGTTGCACAATACAGTGGTACTTCAGGTTACATACGCTTCAGGTTACATACGCGTCAGGTTACAGACTCTGCTAACCCAGAAATAGTGCTTCAGGTTAAGAACTTTGCTTCAGGATGAGAACAGAAATTGTGCTCCGGCGGCACGGCAGCAGCAGGAGGCCCCATTAGCTAAAGTGGTGCTTCAGGTTAAGAACAGTTTCAGGTTAAGAACGGACCTCCGGAACAAATTAAGTTACCGTATTTTTCGCTCTATAAGACGCACCAGACCACAAGACGCACCTAGTTTTTGGAGGAGGAAAACAAGGAAAAATATATTCTGAATTTCAGAAGACAGAACAGCAAGAGGGATCGCTGCGCAGTGAATGCAGCGATCCCTCTTGCTGTTCTGGCTTCTGGGATAGCTGTGCAGCATGCATTCGCTCCATAAGACGCACACACATTTCCCCTTACTTTTTAGGAGGGAAGAAGTGAGCCTTATAGAGCAAAAAATACGGTATTAACCCGAGGTACCACTGTATTAAAACTCACCTGTCTGCTAGCGCAAGAGCCGTGGCGGACAAAGGACGTTGGGTACAGTCACATATAAGTGCGAAGGGCCTCCATCTTCACGGACGACATGCAAGATGCATAAGCAGCCACAACTTACCTCTCTCGCACTGGGGCCCCGTGAATCCGTACACGCAAGCGCAGCGATTTGGTCCAATGCACCGACCGCCGTTCTGGCATCCGCTTTCGCAGACAGCTGTGCGGGGAGCAGAGAAAGAGAGTGAAAAAGACGGAGTTTGCATTGGCCAGGAATCAAGGAGAGCTCTCCAGGAAATGCCGTCGTACGGTGGGGAATCGGGAGCCCGGCCAGCGTCTCCGCTCCTCCTTTCTGCCGCTCGGGACATTCGAAAGCGGAGAGCCAAAAGCGATGGGAGGCTGTTTCAGATGGCCAGGGAGGGCGAGGTCACCCAAATGGGGTAAAATCCTGCATGAGACGCGGAGAGCCAGGGGTCTTCGGGGGGCTTAAAGGAGGGATGGCGAAGCATTGTTCCAGAGGCCATGTCTGACCCAACGCCAAGCAAGTTGTCAGCAACAGGTAATATTGCTGGCTAATGGATTGAGGCTGAATCCTGACAAGACAGAAGTACTGTTTTTGGGGGACAGGGGGTGGGCGGGTATGGGGGACTCCCTGGTCCTGAATGGGGTAACTGTGCCCCTGAAGGACCAGATGCACAGCCTGGGAGTCATTTTGGACTCACAGGTGTCCATGGAGGTGCAGGTCAAATCTGTGTCCAGGGCAGCTGTCTACCAGCTCCATCTGGTACGCAGGATGAGACCCTACCTTGCCAGAGTGGTGCATGCTCTAGTTATCTCCTGCTTGGACTACTGCAATGCGCTCTACATGGGGCTACCTTTGAAGGTTACCCGGAAACTACAACTAATTCAGAATGCGGCATCTAGTCCAACCCCCTGAAATGCAGGAATCTCAGCTAAAGCATCCATGGCGGATCTGCTTAAAAACCTCCTGAGAATCTGCCTTCACACGAGAGTTGCAGTGGCCGCCTATTGGTGGCCTTGTGTATTGCACCGTGTCAACAGCCTTACGTTTCTATGTATATAGGAAGGAAAGGCACAGGGAATCGGGAGAATTTCCAAGTGCGTTTCTCCTGGTTTATGCATTTTCGGCACACAAAATCAGAAAGTTCTTCCTGATGTTGAGTCAGAATCTCCTGCCTTAATCATTCGACTCTGTTAGTTCGTCCCCCATCTTCCCCAACCACGGGCCATGCTAGCAAGGCCTGGCATTGGCTCCCCCTGCCATAGCTGTCAACCTTTCCCTTTTCTTGCGAGGAATCCTATTCAGAATAAGGGTTAAAAAGGGAAACATTGACAGCTATGCCCCTGGGCGGTTAAGTCCAGCCAAAGGCGACTATGGGGTTGCGGCGCTCATCTCGCTTTCGGGCGGAGGGAGCCGGCGTTTGTCCACAGATAGCTTTCCAGGTCTTGTGGCCAGCAGGACTAAACCGCTTCTGGCGCAACGGGACATCGTGACGGAAACCAGAGCACACAGAAATGCCATTTACCTTCCCGCCGCAGTGGTGCCTATTTATCTACTTGCGCTGGTGTGCTTTCGAACTGCTAGGTTGGCAGGAGCTGGGACAGAGCAACGGGAGCTCACCCCGTCGTGGGGATTCGAACCACTGACCTTTTGATCGGTAAGCCCAAGAGTATAGGTAGGCAAACTAAGGCCCAGGAGCCGGATCCAGCCCAATCCTTGACATGAGCCAACTTGACATGAGCCAACAGTGTGACGCGGCAGCTAAAAAAGCCAATGCAATTCTGGGCTGCATCCATAGGAGTATAGCATCTAGATCAAGGGAAGTAATAGTGCCACTGTATTCTGCTCTGGTCAGACCTCACCTGGAGTACTGTGTCCAGTTCTGGGCACCACAGTTCAAGAAGGACACTGACAAACTGGAACGTGTCCAGAGGAGGGCAACCAAAATGGTCAAAGGCCTGGAAACGATGCCTTATGAGGAACGGCTAAGGGAGCTGGGCATGTTTAGCCTGGAGAAGAGGAGGTGAAGGGGTGATATGATAGCCATGTTCAAATATATAAAAGGATGCCACATAGAGGAGGGAGAAAGGTTGTTTTCTGCTGCTCCAGAGAAGCAGACACGGAGCAATGGATCCAAACTACAAGAAAGAAGATTCCACCTAAAGATTAGGAAGAACTTCCTGACAGTAAGAGCTGTTGGACAGTGGAATTTGCTGCCAAGGAGCGTGGTGGAGTCTCCTTCTTTGGAGGTCTTTAAGCAGAGGCTTCACAACCAGATGTCAGGAGTGCTCTGATGGTGTTTCCTGCTTGGCAGGGGTTTGGACTCGATGGCCCTTGTGGTCTCTTCCAACTCTATGATTCTATGATTCAATCGCCTTCTTAATCTCAGCTCAGGGCTTGCTTTTTTGCCTTTTTCCATCCTCACAGCATGCACGCCCCGGTACTCACGCTGGCCGCAGTAGGTCCCAGTGTATCCCTTCTGGCAGAGACAAGCTTCTTCGTTGCAGCTCCCGCCATTCATACATCTCACGTTGCAAGACTGAACTGGGGGAGGAAGAAAGAGACAGGTTTATGGAGGCGGCCAAGGAGGAGAAGGAGAATGGAGAGATGCAACGGCGGAGAGTTTAACGGCGAAGCTAATATCCGCGACCAGAAAGAAGAGGAATATCAAGAAGAATGGAAGAAATTTAAAGACTATTTGAATATTGTAATATTAAAGATTGGTAACTACAGTGTTACATACGCTCGGGTTACATACGCTTCAGGTTACAGTCTCCGCTAACCCAGAAATAGTGCTTCAGGTTAAGCACTTTGCTTCAGGATGAGAACAGAAATCGTGCTCCGGCGGCGTGGCAGCAGCGCGAGGCCCCATTAGCTAAAGTGGTGCTTCAGGTTAAGAACACTTTCAGGTTAAGAACGGACCTCCGGAATGAATTAAGTACTTAACCCGAGGTACCGCTGTACTTGAAAGAATTAATTAGGCTGAGGATTAAATCAGGACTAAATAAATAAATAAGAAATATGATTGTTCTAAGGAATAACGATATTGGAAACTGCTACATTCAATTACAAAGAAATTCAGATGGAAGAGATTAGAGGAAGTCAAGTAATATGTTTATGAAGTTGGATTTTAATTAATTAAAATTAATTGGTATTGGTATTATGTGGGGTTGGTACTTCTTTGGTTTTTCTTTTCTTTTCTTTCTTTTTTCTCATTATTGTTTTTTCTTTTTCGGTTATGTTAAAGTTAGGTTTTATATGAAACTTAATAAATATTATTGGGGGGGGGAGAGAAAAACTGCCCCCGCTGTTTCCACACCCGACAATAATTTCCCCACTGATACAACACAGCAGAGAAGACCTTTGTGTCCCCCTATTAAAGGTAAAGGGACCCCTGACCATTAGGTCCAGTCGTGGCCCGACTCTGGGGTTGCGGCGCTCATCTCGCTTTATTGGCCGAGGGAGCCGGCATACAGCTTCCGGGTCATGTGGCCAGCAGGACTTAGCCGCTTCTGGTGAACCAGAGCAGTGCACGGAAACGCCGTTTACCTTCCTGCCGGAGCGGGACCTATTTATCTACTTGCACTTTGACGTGCTTTCGAACTGCTAGGTTGGCAGGACCAGGGACCGAGCAACGGGAGCTCACCCCGTCGCAGGGATTCGAACCGCTGACCTTCTGATCGGCAAGTCCTAGGCTCTGTGGTTTAACCCACAGCGCCACCCACATCCTTTTGTGTCCCTTACTGCTTTCCAAAAAGCTTTGAACCTCTCCAAAGTTCAGCCATAGGAAACCGACATCCACTTTTCTCTCTCCATCTGGCCTCACACCCTGTTGTGGAGGCAGCCCCCCCCCAAAAGCCTTGTGAAATCTTAACTCCCCCCCCCCCGCCTCCCTCCCCCAGCGACCCCCTGGGGACCGCGGGAATGCAGACAATGCAGCCCCTTTCCCAACGCCCCTCCCCAAGCCTGAATTCCTTACATAGCTGAGGAGATTGCTAACATCTGGGGTCTCCATCACAGTGAAATTGAGAGCAGAAGGGGCTTCAGGTATATTAAGGTGGTGATGTATGGAAGTGAGAGCTGGACCATCAGGAAGGCTGATCGCTGAAGAATGGACGCTTTTGAATTCTGGTGCTGGAGGAGACTCTTGAGAGTCCCATGGACTGCAAGAAGATCAAACCTCTCCATTCGGAAGGAAATCAGCCCTGAGTGCTCACTGGAAGGACAGATCCTGAAGCTGAGGCTCCAAGACTTTGGCCACCTCCTGAGAAGAGAAGACTCCCTGGAAAAGACCCTGATGTTGGGAAAGATGGAGGGCACAAGGAGAAGGGGATGACAGAGGACGAGATGGTGGGACAGTGTTCTCGAAGCTACCAGCATGAGTTTGACCAAACTGCGGGAGGCGGTGGAAGACAGGAGTGCCTGGCGTGCTCTGGTCCAGGGGGTCATGAAGAGTCGGACACGACTAAACGACTAAACAACAACATATTAAGGTGGGGGGGAGCCGCTGTAAAAAGCACATTTGCGGTCCTGAGCTGTTTAAGGCTTTATAGGTCAGAACCAACACTTTGAATTGGGCCCGGAAACTAAATGGCCTCGGTCCAGTATACCTGAAGGAGCGTCTCCATCTCCATCATTCTGCCCGGACGCTGAGGTCCAGCACCGATGGCCTTCTGGCGGTTCCCTCACTGCGAGAAGCCAAGTTACAGGGAACCAGGCAGAGGGCCTTCTCTGTGGTGGCGCCCGCCCTGTGGAATGCCCTCCCACCAGATGTCAAAGAGAAAAACAACTACCAGACTTTTAGAAGACATTGGAAGGCAGCCCTATTCAGGGAACCTTTTAATGTTTAACAGACTATTGTATTTTAATATTAAGTTGGAAGCCGCCCAGAGTGGCTGGAGAAACCCAGCCAGATGGGCGGGGTATAAATACAGGGGTACCTCGGGTTAAGTACTTAATTCATTTCGGAGGCCCATTCTTAATCTGAAACTGTTCTTAACTTGAAGCACGACTTTAGCTAATGGGGCCTCCCACTGCTGCCGCGCCGTCAGAGCACAATTTCTGTTCTCATCCTGAAGCAAAGTTCTTAACGCAAGGTACTATTTCTGGGTTAGCGGAGTCTGTAACCTGAACCGTCTGTAACCTGAAGCGCATGTAACCCGAGGTACCACTGTAATAAATTATTATTATTATTATTATTATTATTATTATTATTAGCAAGTGCAGTCAGACCAGGATCAGTGCAATATGCTCAAACCATCTTACCAGAGCATAGACAGCAGTACAGTAGTACCTCGGGTTACAGACACTTCAGGTTACATACACTTCAGGTTACAGACTCCGCTAACCCAGAAATAGTGCTTCAGGTTAAGAACTGTGCTTCAGGATAAGAACAGAAATCGTGCTTCAGCGGCACAGTGACAGCAGGAGGCCCCATTTGCTAAAGGGGTGCTTCAGGTTAAGAACAGTTTCAGGTTAAGAACGGACCTCCGGAACGCATTAAGTACTTAACCCGAGGTACCACTGTATGCTCAAATCGTCTTGCTCCGGTGAGCAACATGGCCGCTCAATTCTGCACCGGCTGAAGTTTCCGAACCGTCTCCAGAGGCAGCCCTACTTAGAACGCATTGCAGTAATCTAACCTTGAGGTTACCAGAGCATAGACCACAGTAGTTAGGCTATCCCTGTCCAGATAGGGGCGTGGCTTCTAGGGGCCATGGGCGGGGCCTGGGCAAAAGTGGGTGGAGTAACAGGCAACGGCGCTTATTCTTGTCCAACAGGTTACATCCCAACCGTGCAAAGGCCGGGGGTTTCTGCACCCAGCCGCCCACCTCGCACACATGCGCATCTCACACAAAGTCCCCCTGTCTCCTCACCTCCTCCGGAGCCACAGTTTGGAGACAGCTGTCCATTGGAACAGGTGCACATGTTGGGTCGGGAACAGAACCCATCTCCGCAGGAGTTCCGGCAAATGGCTGTTGGGGAAAAGGGGTGAGAGAAAGAGAAAAGGAGTTTAAAGGGCCTGTCCTTTCAGCCCTACCCTAACGTTCCTCCAAGGAGGATCTCCTCTCCATTCTGGCCTCAGAACCACCCTGTGAGGTGGGCTCGCATGGGAGCTCACAAGGTCACCAGGGCTGATGAGGCCCTAAGCCACTGAAGGCAAGGGACGCAGGTGGCGCTGTGGGTTAAACCACAGAGCCTAGGACTTGCCGATCAGAAGGTTGGCGGTTCGAATCCCCGTGACGGGGTGAGCTCCCCTTGCTCGGTCCCTGCTCCTGCCAACCTAGCAGTTCGAAAGCACGTCAAAGTGTAAGTAAATAAATAGGTACCGCTCCGGTGGGAAGGTAAACAGCGTTTCCATGCACTGCTCTGGTTTGCCAGAAGCGGCTTAGTCATGCTGGCCACATGACCTGGAAGCTATACGCCGGCTCCCTTGGTCAGTAAAGCGAGATGAGCACCGCAACCCCAAAGTCGGTCATGACTGGACCTAATGGTCAGAGGTCCCTTTACCTTCACCTTCAGTAGGGACGCGGGTGGCGCTGTGGTCTAAACCACAGAGCCTAGGGCTTGCTGATCAGAAGGTCGGCGGTTCGAATCCCCGCAACGGGGTAAGTTCCCATTGCTCGGTCTCAGCTCCTGCTAACCTAGCAGTTCGAAAGCACGTCAAAGTGCAAGTAGATAAATAGGTACCACTCTGGCGGGAAGGTAAACGGTGTTTCCGTGCGCTGCTCTGGTTTGCCAGAAGCGGCTTAGTCATGCTGGCCACATGACCCAGAAGCTGTACTCCGGCTCCTCGGCCAGTAAAGCAAGATGAGCGCCGCAACCCCAGAGTCGGTCACGACTGGACCTAATGGTCAGGGGTCCCTTTACCTTTACCTTTAAGCCACTGAAGGTAATGGGGCCCTTTCTATGTCCAGCTGTCCTTTGCCAGCAACAAATTGCCGCTGTTGAATATATGCTACATGGTAAATTATGGAGCTAATAGGTATCTCAAGCCATTTGCACATGTTGCTGTGCAACCAGTCCATGCAGAATGTAGCCACCCTATATATAAAGGTAAAGGGACCCCTGACCATTAGGTCCGGTCGCGGACGACTCTGAGGTTGTGGCGCTCATCTCAGTTTACTGGCCAAGGTAGCCGGCGTACAGCTTTCGGGTCATGTGGCCAGCATGACCAAGCCTCTTCTGGCAAACCAGAGCAGTGCACGGAAACGCTGTTTACCTTCCCGCTTGAGTGGTACCTATTTATCTACTTGCACTTTGATGTGCTTTCGAACTGCTAGGTTGGCAGGAGCAAGGACCAAGCAACGGGAGCTCACCCCGTCACGGGGATTCGAACTGCCGACCTTCTGATCGGCAAGTCCTAGGCTCTGTGGTTTAACCCACAGCGCCACCCGCGTCTCCCCAGCACTCTTAGGAAACTACAATTCCCAGAACTCACTGGGTGGAGCCGCGGCCACTTAAAAGGCGATAACACTGTTGTTAAGTGGGAGCTATACCAGGCTTGCAAACCAATTGTTAAACTTCTTTATAATTAAGCCCTGGAAGGAGCTTTCAAGCAGCTGAAACAAAAGAGCTCTTGCAAAACCAACTTTTCTGGTTGTGTAATTTGAGGATTTTCATGGGGGGTGGGGACAAATCAAGTTGGAGCTTTCCATTTGTTTGAGTGCTTGTTTTGATCCCAAGGACAGCTCACGCTTGTAGGTAGAAACATCAAACTGAAGCGTTTCACCCCAATAAAGCAAAGCCTTGAAAAAGGCAATTTTAAGACCATTTCATGCCCCAGAGTTAACGCTGCTTGTGCAAAACCAACTTAATATGGAATGTTTTAAAAAGCAGAGGTATAAGGTAAAGGTAAAGGGACCCCTGACCATTAGGTCAAGTCATGGCCGACTCTGGGGTTGCGGCGCTCATCTCGCTTTACTGGCCAAGGGAGCCGGCGTACAGCTTCCGGGTCATGTGGCCAGCAGGACTAAGCCGCTTCTGGCAAACCAGAGCAGTGCACGGAAACGCCGTTTACCTTCCCGCTGGAGCGGTACCTATCTATCTACTTGCACTTTGATGTGCTTTCGAACTGCTAGGTTGGCATGAGCTGGGACTGAGGAACCGGAGCTCACCCTGTCGTGGGGATTCGAACCGCTGACCTTCTGATCAGCAAGTCCTAGGCTCTGTGGTTCAACCCACAGCGCCACCCGCGTCCTGCAGAGGTATATAAGCCCTTTAAAATATAAGAAAGAAACTGTAAACCACCTCAGATCCCCAGCTAGACTGAATCAAATGGGTTATCACGAAAACCAAAGCGGTAAGGGCTGAGCCTATACAGCAGCGGTCCCCAACCTGTGGCCCATGGGCTGGAAGCAGCCCACAGAGGCCATTTAACCGGCCCACAAGCCGCCCCCGGACCGAACCGCCTGCTTGGCAAGTGCCCGCGCACTGCGCTAAACTGGCGCAGTGCGGCGCAGGTGGGGACTCTCTTCCGCGGCTCTGGAAATTGCTTTTGCGCACGCCCAGACGCCGGAAATCGCTTCTGTGCATGCTCAGATGCCGGAAATTGCTTCTGCACTGGTTAATTAATTAATGCACTAGTTCCCACCGGGGAGACATAACCCTGGCTCATACTAACGGACAGTGCACTGGATCCCACCAGGGAGAAATAACCCTGGCTCCTATTCATGGACAACACACTAGTTCCCACAGGGGAGACATAACCCTGGCCCATACTAACAGACAATGCACTGGTTCCCACCAGGGAGACATAAACCTGGCTCATATGGACAACATACTGGTTCCCACAGGGGAGACATAACCCTGGCTCATACTCATGGACATTGCACTGGTTCCTGCCAGGGAGACATAACCCTGGCTCATACTAACAGACAATGCACTAGTTCCTACTGGGGAGACATAACCCTGGCTCATTCTAACAGACATTGCACTGGTTCCTGCCAGGGAGACATAACCCTGGCTCATACTCACGGACAATGCACTGGTTCCTACAGGGGAGACATAACCCTGGCTCATTCTAACAGACATTGCACTGGTTCCTGCCAGGGAGACATAACCCTGGCTCATACTCACGGAAAATGCACTGGTTCCTACAGGGGAGACATAACCCTGGCTCATACTAACAGACAATGCACTAGTTCCTACTGGGGAGACATAACCCTGGCTCATTCTAACAGACATTGCACTGGTTCCTGCCAGGGAGACATAACCCTGGCTCATACTCACAGACAATGCACTGGGAGACATAACCCTGGCTCATACTCATGGACAATGCGCTGGATCCCACCAGGGGGACATAATCCTGGCTCATACTCACAGACAATGCACAGGGAGACATAACCCTGGCTCATACTCATGGACAATGCACTGGTTCCCACCGGGGAGACAAACCCTGGCTCATACTCACGGACAATGCACTGGCAGACATAACCCTGGCTCATGCTCGCGGACAATGCACTGGGAGACATAACCCTGGCTCATACTCATGGACAATGCACTGGTTCCACCGGGGAGACAACCCTGGCTCATACTCACGGACAATGCACTGGCAGACATAACCCTGGCTCATGCTCGCGGACAATGCACTGGGAGACATAACCCTGGCTCATACTCATGGACAATGCACTGGTTCCACCGGGGAGACATAACCCTGGCTCATACTCACGGACAATGCACTGGGAGACATAACCCTGGCTCATACTTATGGACAATGCACTGGTTCCCACAGGGGAGACATAACCCTGGCTCATACTCACGGACAATGCACTGGCAGACATAACCCTGGCTTATACTCACGGACAATGCACTGGTTCCCACCGGGGAGGGTCTTCCATCCGGGGCAGCAGTACGAGTGGAACCGGGATCCGCAGACGTTGGGCCTGAAAGTCAACGAGAGAGTCACAAGCTGAACGTTTGCTCCCTGCTTGCAGTGGCCAGCCTACCTGTAGGTGGGGCAGATTGCAGCGTTTACCTGGATGCTACCTGTCTCTGGGGTTGTTCAGAGCAACTGTAAACACCTGAGACTTCCTGACGCTGAGTGAGACCATCGTCCACCTTAGCATCACTTACACGGATCGGCAAGAGCTCTTTGGAGTCTCAAGGCAGACACTGGGCTTTCCCAAACTTGCAGCCAAGACTGATCTGACTGGCAGCAGTTTCCTGGGGTTTCAGGCAAAGGCAATTTCCGACTCTGACCTGGAGACCCTAGGACCTGTTGCATGCCATTGAACCCATTGCCAGGGATTGGTCAGCTGTGATTCGTGGCATTGCAGCGGGTTGGTCTGGATGACCGTTGGGTCCCTTCCGTTCTATGAGCAACAGAAGAACTTAAAGATTATAGCAGCGTTGTTGAGACATCAGAGAGAGAAGGCAGGGTTCAGCAGAGGGAGAGAAATAAAAACAGAATGGAAAAGGGGGTGGGAAGTCAGACACAAGATTTGCCCACTCTGGAAGAATGGCAGATGCAACTGATAGACTACATGGAATTGGCAGAAATGACTGGCAGAATCCGAGACCTGGGAGAAGAGACAGTGGAAGAGGACTGGAAGAAATTTAAGGATTATCTGCAAAAGTACTGTAAATTGTATGAATGCTAGAATGATGCAGGATAGAAAGATAACTTGGCATTAGTAACCTAGTGGAAAGAAGTATGAAAAGAACTGAATTATAAGAACAAAGACGAAATTTGATCAATATTATGTCAAGCCTAAATATTTAAATATTTGATAACAAAGGGAAAAATTGGAGATATAATATTTGAAAGGTACAAACTAAAACAAGATTTGAGAGAAGGTTAAGTATTGCTGAACATGATTTTGTAAATGGGAACACAGGAAAGGGAGATGTGAGGGAGTCCGAAAGGAAGGTTATGGAAATTTGGTTTTTGAAATTTAACTATGTTGTATTTCTTTTGTTTTGTGTGTATTCTTTTATTTTGGTGATGGTGTTTTATGTGATTGGTGTTGTATTGCTTAAAACCTTTAATAAATATTATTAAAAAAAAGGAAAAGGGGGTGGGAAGTCAACAAAAATAATGGTTTTACTGTGTGTTGAAACGTATGTGTTAATTTATTTATTTTTGAAAAGTTTTAAAAGATGATAAGGAATAGTGTGAATTTTGGGGAGAAAGAATCATAAAACCGTAGAGTCAGAAGGGAACCCAGGGGTCATCTAGTCCAACCCCTGCAACGCAGGAAAGCTCAACTCAAGCACGCACGACAAATGGCCGTCCAACCTCTGCTTTGAAACCTCCAAGGCAGTCCGCCACCTCCCAAGGGAGACCGTTCCACTGTCGAACAGCTCTCACTGTCAGAAAGTTCTTCCTGATGTTGAGTTTCCTGTCACTTGAAGCCACGGGTTCGAGTCCTGCCCTTCCAGAGCAGGAGAAAACAAGCTCGCTGCATCCTCTATGTGAGAGTCCTTTAGATATTTCAAGATGGCTCTCATATCTCCTCTTTTCCAGGCCGAACATACCCATCTCCTTCCATCTTTCCTGCGCTTCAGTTCCCTGTATTCTTTTGGGAAGAGTAAACCAGGCCTTCAAATGCAATTGGAATCAAATTCCTCTTGCATCCCTAGCTGTGATCGTCTGACTTAGCTCACGATGCTGTGCAGACTCCTCTGACAGCAAGGCCCCCCGCTGCCCGCATTTACCTGGGAGTAAACCTTCTTGAGAGGGACACGGGTGGCGCTGTGGGTTAAACCACAGAACCTTGGACTTGCCGATCAGAAGGTTGGCGGTTCGAATCCCTGAGACGGGGTGAGCTCCTGTTGCTCGGTCCCTGCTCCTGCCCACCTAGCAGTTGGAAAGCACATCAAAGTGCAAGTAGACAAATAGGTACCACTCCAGCGGGAAGGTAAATGGCCTTTTCGTGCACTGCTCTGGTTCGCCAGAAGCGGCTTAGTCCTGCCGGCCACATGACCCAGAAGCTGTACGCCGGCTTCCTCGGCCAGTAAAGCGAGATGAGCGCCGCAACCCCAGAGTCGGCCATGACTGGACCTAATGGTCAGGGGTCCCTTTACTTTTTTAAACCTCCTCGAACTCAACGTGGATTAACCTCCAAGCCAAGAAAAAGCCTGGGAACGAGTCGTTGCACAGCAGCACGACCCTGGAAAAGCTCGCCGGGAAGCGAGCAGTGCCAGTTCCAGCGAGGCTTCGTCCCAAGATGTGTGTGGGCTGGACCTCAGCCTCAGACATACCTTTGCTCAGAGTTCTTGTATCAATACATCTGCTATATGTTTACATTATGGGCTGGAGGTGGGGGTTAGGAAGGGGGGGTTCGCTCACACAAACACACACATCCAAGAACGACAGAACATGCTTATAGTGAAGGATGCGGGTGGCGCTGCGATCTAAACCACTGAGCCTCTTGGGCTTGCCGATCGGAAGGTCGGCGGTTCGAATCCCCGCAACGGGGTGAGCTCCCGCTGCTCGGTCCCTGCTCCTGCCTACCTAGCAGTTCGAAAGCACGCCGGTGCAAGTAGATAAATAGGTACCACTGCCGCAGGAAGGTAAACAGCGTTTCCATGCGCTCTGGTTTCCATCACGGTGTCCCGTTGAGCCTGAAACAGTTTAGTCCTGCTGGCCACATGACCCAGAAAGCTGTCTGTGGACAAACGCCGGCTCCCTTGGCCTGAAAGCGAAATGAGAGCCACAACCCCATAGTTGCCATGGACTGGACTTAACCGTCCAGGGGTCCTTTACTTTTAAAAGGTAAAGAGCAAAGGAACTCCTGACCATTAGGTTCAGTCACGGACGACTCTGGGGTTGCAACGCTCATCTCACTTTATTGGCCGAGGGAGCCGGCATACAGCTTCCGGGTCATGTGGCCAGCAGGAATAAGCCGCTTCTGGCGAACCAGAGCAGCACACGGAAACGCGTTTACCTTCCCGCCAGAGCGGTACCTATTGATCTACTTGCGCTTTGACGTGCTTTCGAACTGCTAGGTTGGCAGGAGCTGGGACCGAACAATGGGAGCTCACCCCGCCATTGTGGGGATTCGAACCGCCAACCTTCTGATCGGCAAGTCCTAGGCTCTGTGGTTTAATCCACAGCGCCACCCACGTCCCATATATTTCATTTAAACAACCTTAAATCAATGACTTCCCTTCTTCTCTTTCCGTACTTCCTTTTGCATACCATCCATCCCTGCATATTTTAAACAAACTAAACCATTCCGTGTTCCATTGTTACATCCATCAAAACTTATCTGCACTGTTGAATTTATCTTAATGCTGCCAGTGTTTTGAAATGTGCACCATTTTCACCCATATAATCAGTAAACATTCTCCAGTCTTTTTTTAAACATACGTCCTTCTCGTTCTCTTGTTCCATATGTTAAATCTGCAAGCTGCACGTATTCCATTAGTTCAAGTTCTTTGGTTGCGAACTCTTTGGTTTTCCATTTTGGGGCAAGCAAATCACGGGCGTCAAAAAAGACTATTTATTTCTGCTACTGCTGCGGCCCGTGTTTTGATGAATTCTCTCTCCTTGTAGGTTTTCAAGCAGAGGTTTGCAGGCCATCTGTCATGGATGTTTTAGCTGAGGTTACGTCATTGCAGCGGGTTGGACTAGATGACCGCTGGTGTCCCTTCCAACGCTACAATTCTATACTTTTACATACCGTATTTTTCGCCCTATAGGACGCACATTTTCCCCTCCAAAAATGAGGCGGAAATGTGTGTGCGTCCTATGGGGCGAATGCAGGCTTTCGCTGAAGCCTGGAGAGCGAGAGGGGTCAGTGCGCACCGACCCCTCTCGCTCTCCAGGGTTTAGGAAGCTCTGCTCAACCCTCGGGAGACCGGCTCCGAGGGTTGCGCAGAGCTGCCTGCAGTCCCGGGTTCAGCGCAGCTCTACGCGGCCATCGGGAGCGGGGCGCGAAGTCCTGCGCAGCTCTGCGTGGCCATCGGGAGCGGGGCGCGAAGTCCCGCCCGGCTCCCGATGGCTGCGCAGAGCTGCCTCCATCCCGGGCTCAGCGCACTTCTCCCCATCGCCAGCCCCACAAGCTCGGGGGACAGCGGGGAGGCGGAGCGCGCCTTCCCGCTGTTCCCCGACCTGGTTCCTCCAGCCCAGCACCTGGGGGGGGGAAATAAAATTTTTTTCTTTATTCCCCCCCCAAAAAACTAGGTGCGTCCTATGGGCCGGTGCGTCCTATGGGGCGCAAAATACGGTAAATCACATAACTCGTATTCATTTGATAAACGTCAAAGCAATGGCTTTGCGTCCAACGTTAGTCCTTCTCAGAGCAGGCCCACAGAAATTAAAGAATATTAGTAGGAGTATTTACTGTATTTATATTCTAGCTGTTTCCTCATTCAATTCCCACAACAACCCTGAGAGGCAGTGACTAGCCCTCAGAGTTACCAGCGAGCTTCATGGCTGAGCAGGAATTTGAACTCGTCTCCCATTGCCTTAGTCATGGAATCATAGAGTTGGAAGGAGCCCTGAGAATCAATGCAGGAATCTTTGACCTATGACCCTGAGATTAAGAATTTCGTCCTCTAACAGCTGAGCCAGCCCATGCCAACATTTCCCCCTAACCACGACATTTCACTGGTTCTGAATGCCACACAGGTTTTCCTGTTTCTATTAGCTGCCCAATAGATCAGACAAAATTTCGCGGTGCAACAGCTATGGTTCTGGTGTGCTGGAGACCACAGATGCAAAAAAACACGCGTCTTTGTATTTCTGCAGTTTGGTGATGGCCAATAGTTTCGCCGCTGACAAACATGTGACGGGCCGACTGATGCTTTCAACAGCTAAATTGTTCTGAGATACAGTGGTACCTTGGTTCTCAAACGCCTTGGTTCCCAAACGCCGAAAACCCGGAAGCAAGTGTTCCGGTTTTTGAATGTTTTTCGGAAGCCGAACGTCCGATATGGCTGTTGGCTATTGTTTCTGGGGCGCCTGCACCAATCAGAAGCCACGTCTCGGTTTCCGAACATTTCGGAAGTCAAACAGACTTCTGGAACAGATTAAGTTTGGCGCTTTTGTTTTTGCACTTTTTTTTTTTTGAGGCTTTTTCGGTTCATTTGTTTTTGTGACTGTGTGGAACCCAGTTCAGCTACTGATTGATTGATTGATTGATTGATTGACTGATCGATCAATTGTGTGACTGCGGAAATGGATAAAAGCCACCCCCCATCCAAACAGTGACTCTCATCAGTGCAGGTAAGAAAAAATTATAATTTTAATTTTTATCATCTATAATACTGTCTTATTTATTTTATAGTACAGTACATCGATTATTTCCTGCCAACCTAGCAGTTCGAAAGCATGTCAAAGTGCAAGTAGATAAATAGGTACTGCTCCGGCGGGAAGGTAAACGGCGTTTCCGTGCGCTGCTCTGGTTCGCCAGAAGCGGCTTAGTCCTGCTGGCCACATGACCCAGAAGCTGTACGCCAGCTCCCTTGGCCAATAAAGTGAGATGAGCGCCGCAACCCCAGAGTCGGCCACGACTGGACTTAATGGTCAGGGGTCCCTTTACATTTACCTTACATTGATTATTGCTTTCATTTTATGAATCAATAGTCTTGTTACATAGTAAAATTCATGCTTAACTGCTGTTTGGGGGCTTGTTTTTAAAAATCTGGAATGGATTAATCCGTTTCGCGTTGCTTTCTATCGGAAATCACACATTGGCTTTGGAACGAATTGGTTATGAAAACAGACTTCCGGAACGGATTAAGTTTGAGAACCAAGGTACCACTGTATTTCACAGGGAGCAATCCATAGATGCGACAGAATGCAGGGGGAACAAGACACCCAGGCAGGAAATGGTCAGCGAACCAATTTAAGCGCAAAAACATTTGGGTGAAGAAGAGAGCAGATCACAGGACGCCTCGCCAGCTGCAGAATCAAATGGAAGGCAAACAGCCACCTTTTGTTGCAAAGGATGAGCCACCCACGACCATGTCTGTCAAGTTTATTAATGGATTCCGATGCCTCCATCTAACAGCTGGTTTTCCTTTAATGCTTTTAACGCACTCTGCCCAGCTTTCTCAGCCAAGGGGCAATTCTAGGATTCCACGAATGCTTAAAATAATCAGAATACAGTGCTGCCTCGCAAGACGAAATTAATTCGTTCCGCGAGTTTTGTCGCCTTGCGATTTTTTTTTCGTCTTGCGAAGCACGGTGTCGGGAAAGTTTTGGAAAAGCTTCAAAAATCACCAAAGTCTTCAAAAACCTCAAAAAAGGCTACCACACCGCGTTCTATGAGTTGCTCCTCGAAGTCAAGTCGCAACTGTATTAACAGTGTTAAGAAAAAGGAAACAAACTTGCCAGACGTTTCCATCTTGCGAAGCAAGCCCATAGGGGAAAATCAACTTGCAAAGCAGCTCAAAAAACAAAAAACCCTTTCGTCTTGCGAGTTTTCCGTCTTGCGAGGCATTCGTCTTGCGAGGTACCACTGTAAGAATTTATTATTTATCCCCCACCCATCTGGCTGGGCTTCCCCAGCGACTCTAGGTGGCTTCCAAAAAATTTTAAGATACTGTAATACATCAAACATTAAAAGCTTCCCTAAACAGGGCTGCCTTCAGATGTCTTCTAAAAGTCTGGTAGTTGTTGTTCTCTTTGACATCTGGTGGGAGGGCGTTCCACAGGGAGGGCGCCACTACGGAGAAGGCCCTCTGCCTGGTTCCCTGTAACTTGGCTTCTCGCAGGGAGGGAACTGCCACAAGGCCCTCGGTGCTGGACCTCAGTGTCGGTGCTGGACCTCGGTGCTGGACCTCAGTGTCCAGGTAAAACGATGGGGGTGGAGATGCTCCTTCAGGGATACTGGACCGAGGCCGTTTAGGGCTTTCAAGGTCAGCATCAACTTTGAATTGTGCTCGGAAATTTACTGGGAGCCAATGGAGGTCTTTCAAGACCGGTGTTATGTGGTCTCGGCGGCCACTCCCAGTCCCCAGTCTAGCTGCCGCGTTCTGGATTAGTTGTAGTTTCCGGGTCACCTTCAAAGGTAGCCCCACGTAGAGCCAGTGGCGTAGCGTGGGTTGTCAGCACCCGGGGCAAGGCAAGTAATTTGCGCCCCCTAACCCGTGGATTTGCGCCCCCTAACCCATGGATTTGCCCTAACCCCAGATGTTGCGCCCGGTGCGGCCGGCCCCCCCTGCACCCCCCACGCTACGCCACGGCGTAGAGCGCATTGTACTAGTCCAAGCAGGAGATAACCAGAGCATGCACCACTCTGGAGAGACAGTCCGTGGGCAGGGAGGGTCTCATCCTGCGTACCAGATGGAGATGGTAGACAGCCGCCCTGGACACAGAATTGACCTGTGCCTCCATGGACTGCTGTGAGTCCAAAATGACTCCCAGGCTGTGCACCTGGTCCTTCAGGGGCACAGTTACCCCATTCAGGACCAGGGAATCCTCCACACCCACCCACCTTCTGTCCCCCAAAAACAGTACTTCTGTCTTGTCAGGATTCAACCTCAATCTGTTAGCCGCCATCCATCCATAAAACATATTCAGTCATGATGCACTGGGCAAGAGATTTGGAATATAATATTCGAATGGCAGACTGGGAAACGCGCCGAGCACCCACAAATTTGGGTGCCACAGCCATGGCACCCATGGCCCAGTCGTGGCGGAGCCAGGTTGGCGCTCCTGTCCGCAGCGCCATGCGCGATCTACAAAACCTACTTGTTTCTTTGAAGACCGTGGCGTAATGATTTCTGTTCCCCACTGAAATTGGAAGCTGCCCTCCTATATCCTGGTCGTGAGCGGCGTGAAAAAGACAGTGCATTTGTCCGCTTTAAACAAGGGTCAGCAAGCTTTTTCAGCATGGGGCCAGTCCACTGTCCCTCAGACCTTGTGCGGGGACCAGACTATACAGTCATACCTCGGGTTACAGCTGCTTCAGGTTGTGTTTTTTTGGGTTGCGGAACGCCAAAACCCAGAAGCACTGGAATGGGTTACTTCTGGGTCTCGGCGCTCACGCATGTGCAGAAGCGCTAAATCGCACTTCGCACATGCACAGAAGCGCTGAATTGCAACCCGTGCATGCGCAGACATGGTTTGTGGACACTGCGGGTTGAAAACGTGCATTCTGCATGGATCATGTTCGCAACCCGAGCGTCCACTGTATTTTGAAAAATAATAATACTGTGAAATAAACTGCAGCCTTTATAATGGATTGCTTGTTCTTGCCTCTTGTACCACTGTCAGCAAAGGTGAGATGCTCCTGTAAATTACTGTAAATAACTTATTCTTCACTGTAGATCAGTGTGTACAATTCCTATGCCCCACAAATAAGCCAGAGATGCATTTTAAATCAAAGCATACTGCACTTTTCACTCTATAGGACGCACCCGACCATAGGACGCACCTTGTTTTAGAGGGGGAGAACAAGAAAAAAAATTTCCCCCTCTCTGCTCAGCGCCCCTTCTGCAAAGCGGCAGGAGAAACTTAGCCCCTTCCATTTCTCCTCCCGCTTGGCTGAAAGGGCGCTGCGCAGCTCTCCCTCTCTGCTGAAGCCAGGAGAGTCTTGCTCTCCCGCCTTCAGCAAAAGGAACCCAAAGCCTTTGGAGCGCAGCGCGAGGTCCCGCTGCGCTCCGAAGGCTTCAGGCGGCTATCTCTAAAGCCAGGAGAGTCTTGCTCTCCTGGCTTCAGCAAAAGGAACCCAAAGCCTTCAGGTTCCTTTCGCTGAAGCCAGGAGAGTCTATCCCTGAAGCCTGGAGAGCAAGAGGGGTCAGTGTGCACCGACGCCTCTCGCTCTTCAGGCTTCAGCGAAAGCAACACGCAGCCAAGGAGCGCGGAGGGAGCACTCCCTCTGCGCTTCGGAGGCTTCGCGTTGCTATCGCTGAAGCCAAGGAGCCTGCATTCGCTCCATAGGACGCACACACATTTCCCCTTAATTTTTGGAGGGGAAAAGGTGCGTCCTATAGAGCGAAAAATACGGTACGTTCTACTCATGTCAAAACACCAAGGCACGCCCCACAAATAACCCAGAGGTGCATTTAAAATCAAAGGACTCATTCTACTCATGGAAAAACATGCTGATTCCCGGACCATCTGCGGACCGGATTTAGAAGGCGATTGGGTCGCATCCGGCCCCCGGGCCTTAGTTTGCCTACCGATGGCTTACCCTCTCAAAGTGTCGTGGCCTCTTCGTCTCACTCGGCTGGGGGGCTGCTTGCTCTCGTAGCTGCTTGCAAATCTGTCGGGCTGGAGGTCTCCGTCATGCTGTCCGCTGGCGAACTCTTGGTAGAAGGTGAGCGATGTGCACCCCAGGAGGAAGCGGGTCACCCACAGGGGTCCCATAATGGGTGCAAGGAATGAGGCCACCAACACCTTGGGTCCAGCGGGAGGGTCTCTGCAGCCCAACAGCAGGAAATCGGAGCTTCCTTTTCTGAGCTGGAAGGGAAAAGAAATCAGATAAGGTCCCAAACTTCTCAAGTGCTTCATGGCCATGATTTTTTTATACAGTGGTACCTCGGGTTACATACGCTTCAGGTCACATACGCTTCAGGTTACAGACTCCGCTAACCCAGAAATAGTGCTTCAGGTTAAGAACTTTGCTTCAGGATGAGAACAGAAATCGTGCTGCAGCGGTGTGGCAGCAGCAGGAGGCCCCATTAGCTAAAGTGGTGCTTCAGGTTAAGAACAGTTTCAGGTTAAGAACAGACCTCCGGAACGAATTAAGTACTTAACCCGAGGTAACACTGTATGTGTGTTCTCTTTGCAATTGGACAGCTCTTACAAAATCATAACCACATTTGGCTTGATGGTTCCAAAAATTGAGTTCTGTTCCGAGGAGACCCACTCAAATTACTGGACCTAAAGCAGTAGTATATAAATATTTAGTGGGATAACAAGCGATAAAGAACGGAAAATCTTCAGAAGTTGACGGATGTCTAAAATATTGAATAAGATAAGAAGTTATGTTAAATGATTGTTGGAATTAATCTGTTAAAAAAATAATAAATATATATAAAGGTAAAGGGACCCCTGACCATTAGGTCCAGTCGTGGCCGACCCTGGGGTTGCGGTGCTCATCTCGCTTTATTGGCTGAGGGAGCCAGCGTACAGCTTCCGGGTCATGTGGCCAGCAGGACTAAGCCGCTTCTGGCGAACCAGAGCAGTGCGCGGAAACGCCATTTACCTTCCCGCTGGAGTGGTACCTATTTATCTACTTGCACTTTGACGTGATTTCGAACTGCTAGGTTGGCAGGAGCAGGGACTGAGCAACGGGAGCTCACCCCGTCATTGCGGGGAGTCGAACCGCCGACCTTCTGATCGGCAAGTCCTAGGCTCTGTGGTTTAACCCACAGCGCCACCCGCGTCCCTTAAAGTGACCTTTTAGTGCTTTAAATATGTGGTGTTGCTGTGGCCTTTGTCTTATCTAAATAACTGGTTTTGCTTTGGAAGTGGAGCTCATAGAAGAGGAATCCGCCCCGTTGCATATATATATATATTCCAAATCTTGTACAATGCATGTATTTCCCTCTCGGCAGTTCCTTAATCACGCACATCTGCGCATCGATAAACACACCGTGGAAAAGAGAGAGGAATGTTGACGTGAATCAATATACAATTCGGTTCTGTGTTGATAAAATCGCTGGCAAAAACACACAACAGCCTGGTTCATTATGGTTTAATAAACCACGGTTTGGGGCACTGGCGGACGAAGGGGGTGGGGGAGCGGTTCGTCTCGGGTGCCATCGGGGGGGGGACATCGCAGCAGCCCCCACCCCCTGGGATGTTTGGCGCTCTCCGCGCACACCCCAGGATGCGCGCCATGCACCCCGCAGGTGGTGTACCATTCCCCCTGGGACGTGTAATAATAATAATAATAATAATAATAATAATTATATTATATTATTATTATTTATTATTATACCCTGCCCATCTGGCTGGGTTTCCCCAGCTACTCTGGGCGGCTTCCAACCGAATATTAAAAACAATACAGTGGTACCTCGGGTTACATATGCTTCAGGTTACAGACTCCGCTAACCCAGAAATATTACCTCAGGTTAAGACCTTTGCTTCAGGATGAGAACAGAAATCGTGCTCTGGCGGCGCGGCAACAGCAGGAGGCCCCATTAGCTAAAGTGGTGCTTCAGGTTAAGAACAGTTTCAGGTTAAGAACAGACCTCCTGAACGAATTAAGCACTTAACCCGAGGTACCACTGTACAGCGCCAGACATTAAAAACTTCCCTAAACAGAGCCGCCTTCACTTGTCGTTTAAAAGTAAAATAGTTGTTTATTGCCTTGACATCTGGCGGGAGGGCATTCCACAGGGCGGGTGCCACCACCGAGAAGGCCCTCTCCCTGGTTCCCTGTAACCTCATTTCTCGCATGGAGGGAACCACCAGAAGGCCGTTGGAGCTGGACCTCAGTGTACGGGCTGAATGATGGGGGTGGAGACGCTCCTTCAGGTATAATGGGCTGAGGCCGTTTAGGGCTTTAAAGGTCAGCACCAACACTTTGAATTGTGCTCGGAAACGTACGGGGAGCTGATGAAGATCTTTCTTTCTTAGAGGCACCCCAGGGTGTCACTGCACAATGGTTTAAAACCCCTGCTGTAAACCAGTGGCGAAGCTACCTGCTCCAGCACTAGGAGCGGCGTACATCTGGGGACATAGCTGGCACGCGTCCGTGGAGGCATGGCACACGTCCCAGGGGGAATGGCGCACCACCCGCAGGATGTGTGGCGCACATCCTGGGGCGCATCCTTGGGTGTGTTGTGTGCAACAAGTCCTGGCTAACGTAGGGTTTTTTGAACAAAGATCTGAAGCTCAACATCAAAATAACTAAGATCGTGGCTACTGGTCCCATCACCTCCTGGCAAATAGAAGGTGAAGAAATGGAGGCAGTGAAAGATTTGACTTTCTTGGGCTCCATGATCACTGCAGATGGTGACAGCAGTCATGAAATTAAAAGACGCCTGCTTCTTGGGAGAAAAGCAATGACAAACCTAGACAGCATCTTAAAAAGCAGAGACATCACCTTGCCAACAAAGGTCCGTATAGTTAAAGCTATGGTTTTCCCAGTAGTGATGTATGGAAGTGAGAGCTGGACCATCAAGAAGGCTGATCGCCGGAGAATGGATGCTTTTGAATTCTGGTGCTGGAGGAGACTCTTGAGAGTCCCATGGACTGCAAAGAAGATCAAACCTCTCCATTCTGAAGGAAATCAGCCCTGAGTGCTCACTGGAAGGACAGATCCTGAAGCTGAGGCTCCAAGACTTTGGCCACCTCATGAGAAGAGAAGACTCCCTGGAAAAGACCCTGATGTTGGGAAAGATGGAGGGCACAAGGAGAAGGGGACGATGGAGGACGAGATGGTGGGACAGTGTTCTCGAAGCTACCAGCATGAGTTTGACCAAACTGCGGGAGGCAGTGGAAGACAGGAGTGCCTGGCGTGCTCTGGTCCATGGGGTCACGAAGAGTCGGACACGACTAAACGACTCAACAACAACAAATACGGTTGTAACAAGATGATTTTGGGGTGTGGTGTTTTGCCAGAGTGTGGGAGCATATACAGTGGTACCTCGGGTTAAGTACTTAATTCATTCCGGAGGTCCGTTCTTAACCTGAAACTGTTCCTGACCTGAAGCACCACTTTAGCTAATGAGGCCTCCCGCTGCTGCCGCACTGCCGGAGCACAATTTCTCTTCTCATCCTGAAGCAAAGTTCTTAACCTGAAGCACTATTTCTGGGTTAGCGGAGTCTGTAACCTGAAGCGTATGTAACCTGAAGCGTCTGTAACCCGAGGTACCACTGTATACACACCAGCTCAACGCTGCACAAAGGGGTCTCATTGCAATCAGAAAAAGAGTCATAGACGAGTTGGAAGGGACCCCAGGGTCATCTAGTCCAACCCGCTGCACATAGGAGCACATCAATGCGCATGACTGCACATCAGCCATGTGGAAGGGGAAAGAAGCAAAGGAACAGAAGCCTGTGGCAAACAACCCACACTCTGATTGTCAAATTAACTTTTGACATTGAAATCAGGTGGTGGCAAGAGGGAGCTTTATGTTCAGGGGGAAAGACCCTAACTAGGGAATTTTGCAGATCTGCCAGTTTGGGTTTCGTTCTGTTTCTCATTCACCCAGCCTTAAATTCAGTTTAGATTTCTACATCTCTACATTAGGTAAAGGGACCCCTGACCATGAGGTCCAGTCGTGGCCGACTCTGGGGTTGCGGCGCTCATCTCGCTTTATTGGCCGAGGGAGCCGGCGTACAGCTTCTGGGTCATGTGGCCAGCAGGACTAAGCTGCTCCTGGCGAACCAGAACACCGCACGGAAACGCCATTTACCTTCCCGCCGGAGCGGTACCTATTTATCTCCTTGCAATTTGACGTGCTTTCGAACTGCTAGGTTGGCAGGAGCAGGGACCGAGCAACAGGAGCTCACCCTGTCACGGGGATTTGAACCGCCGACCTTCTGATCGGCAAGTCCTAGGCTCTGTGGTTTAACCCACAGCGCCACATTAGTTGATGGTTTATTTTTCTATTATTATTATTAACATCCTCATGAAAACTCATCAGCATTTTTGTTGTGAATTATTGCTATCTGGAACAGGCTGCAGCCCAGCTTTGCATGCAGAAGATGCCTGGCATTTCCAAGTGCAGAATGTCCCCTGTTTGCATCCCTGGAGAGCAGCTGCCAGTCCGAGCAGACAACATAGGGTTAGATGGACAAATACTTCGAGCTGTTCTAAAGCAACTCGCTATGTGCCTGGGTTTAGGGTTTAGAAGATCCCTGACATTTCCAAATACAGAATGTCCCCTATTTGCATCCCTGGAAAGCGGCTGCCAGTCAGAGCAGAGAATATGTAATAATAATAATAATAATAATAATAATAATAATAATAATAATTTATTATTTATACCCCGCCCACCTGGCTGAGTTTCCCCAGCCACTCTGGGTGGCTCCCAATCAAGTATTAAAAACAATACAGCGTTAAATATTATAACCTCCCTAAACAGGGCTGCCTTCAGATGTCTTTTAAAGATAGGTAGCTACTTATTTCCTTCACATCTGAAGAGAGGGCGTTCCACAGGGCGGGCGCCACTACCGAGAAGGCCCTCTGTCTGGTTCCCTGTAACCTCACTTCTGGCAATGAGGGAACCGCCAGAAGGCCCTCAGAGCTGGACCTCAGTGTCTGGGCTGGACAATGGGGGTGGAGATGCTCCTTCAGGTATACTGGGCCATTTACGGCTTTGAAGGTCAGCACCAACACTTTCAATTGTGCTCGGAAACGTACTGGGAGCCAATGCAGATCTCTCAGGACCAGTGTTATGTGGTCCCTGCGGCCACTCCCAGTCCCCAGTCTAGCTGCCGCATTCTGGATTAATTGCAGTTTCCGGGTCACCTTCAAAGGTAGCCCCATGGAGAGCGCGTTG